TCCAAGCAACTGAGAACCTTTGTTTCATGAACGTCTGCCTATAGCTAGTTGGTTGTCATTTAGGCATTGAACTAATCTACTGGTTCCGGATGTGGAAATTGACTAATGCGTACTTAATTTTGCTTCAAGCTTCAACCCCAGGTAAAAGAAGATACTCGTGAAAGAAATAACTCTTGTTTCATCACTCGTGCAATTACTAAACATGGTCTTATGGTTTTGAGATGGATCAAGAAACTTCAATTAATGCCAAATTAAAGACCATGCTAAATCGTCTTTGGCAAGTTTAAAGATACCAGGGAGGGAGGAGGGGGCATTGCCACCCAAGTTTAAAAAAAAAAATTAGGTTTTCTCCCTCAAAAGATTGAAGATCTTTAATTAAAAGGATTCTTTGTAATTCAAGACTTTTGCCCCGCCTGTGTTTTAAACACGACTATTGAGACCCTAATTAATCTCAAAGTAGCTAGTTATCTAGAGAAGAACATACCCCAAACAAGTATATATGTACAAATACTAATATTCCACAGCCAGGTTGCATTCAAGATTTGAATCAGCTAACTTTTGATGCGCAAGGGTGCCACAACTAGCAGGAAACAACTTCGTCTTATCTGTTCTCTTCTCGAGATGGGCTGTCCCTTCGAATGTTATACTATACCCTTTTCTCCACTCTTCCCACAGTCTCCTGATCACACAAAATAATTCTTCCCACTATTCTCACCTTTCACTCATTCGAGGTCACCGCCTGCAAATTGACCAAGCCCATGTCGATGAATAATCAAGCAGTTCTGCAGTTGGGATGTCTTCTTTTTTTTTTTTAACTCTTCCCTTTTATTCATTAAGTCAACAAAAAAAAATTGATTTTTGATTCCATGAATCAAGGAGTTGGGATGTCGTTTTTTTACTGCTCCCTTTAAGTACTATTTGTCTTGTACTTGGAATGGAACTTCTTGCCCATACTTCCATCATTTGAGGTAAGCAAGCATGGACTATGAACCATGGACATTCTTTGCAACTGTTGTAACTCATAGGCATATCAGTTTCCATATAGAGTTGGAACTCATACTGGTTGATGACGCTCAACCAATTAAATGTCCAAACAAACTTCTTCGACTCGTTTCTCTATCTACCAACAGTTCACCAATTGACTTTTTGTCCCTTTAGAGTCTTTACTGTCTCATATTTAATAGGGAACATTGTATTCATCCTTGTTTTCAGTAGTTTGGATAGAGAATATAAATTTTTCAACGCAATATAAAGACAGAATTAAATTTTGTGAACCTCATCTATATTGTTGAAAATGATGCACACCACATAATCCGGGTTATATAATTTTTTTTGGGCTAATCTTGGCCATTACCATTAATTGTCCTTGCCCCTAATTCCAATTTTTGTACCACACAGATATCTGCAGCTAGAAATTATGAGAGTACATGCAAAGAAATCCCTTTGTGGATACAAAAAAAAAAAAATGGAATGTATGTGAAGTCGTGCCTTTTGTATATGGTAGCCCTGGCATACACGATAACTGATAACACGAACAATTTGTTTTTCTCTTTGAGAGTCAAAATTTGTGACAGACATTATTAAAAGAGGCAAAATTTTTAGCAAGAAAAAGTGCATCTTATGGCGCATTTATGAAGGTTGCTGTGCTAGGAAACTTCGAACAAATAGCTTCTTCAGTTTCAGGTTTTCAGCCATGAAATCAATAATAATTATACGTAACAGAATCAGAGTCAGCATATGTAGCCAAGTTGGTGACGCTCTTTCCCCCAGCCGCCCCTTTTTCTGTGGTAGGCAGAAGATGTAAATTTTAGCTTCAACAGCTATTATTGCTCATAAATAAGGTCAGAGACCAGGAATGAATTGAAAATTCATCAAATTGATTTTTTGGCTGTCTCTTTTAAAATTTCCATCATTCTTATTCCACAAGACTTCTTTGGTCGTTTGAGGGAAAAATACCAGTTTTCATCCCTAAATTTTAAGTCATAGACACATTTCGTCTTTAAACTTTTTGACATAATACATTTAGTATCTGAACTATCAATTTTTAACCAGTTTTATCCTTAAATGGGAAACTAATTAGTAATTTGAAAGGAAATTGGACACCTGATGAATTTGAACCCCTTGACTGAAAAGCCTTGCATGACTTAAAATTAGCAAAATAGGACAACTATTTTTACTCTCCCAACTCCAATTTCCATTCAAATTGGTTAATTTCTTGTTTGAGGATGAAATTGGTCAAAAATTGATAGTTCAAATACTAAATATGTTATACCAGAAAGTTTAAGAGCGAAATGTGTCCATGACCCAAAGTTTAGGGATGAAAATTGGCATTTTCCCGTCGTTTGAGTGCATCACACCTGGACGTAACGTAAAGGTTATAAAAGAAAATGGGGGAAAAAGGGATTACCAACAACTTTGCATTCGATGAAATGCTCAAAATTGAACTGCAAAATAGTTGGTTTCATAGTGAAATCGATTATCATTTCCCTGATTAAATACAGACAAAAATGAGGGTTGAAGATCTAATCCCAATTTAATGAAAAAGGGGTCATCAGCAACTTTGCATTCTATGAAATGTTCAAATTTGACCTGCAAAATAGTTGGTTTCGTAGTGAAATAGATTATGATCATTTCCCTAATTGAATACTGACAAAAAAGAGGGTTGAAGGGCTAATCCCAATTTAATGAAAAAATGGGGTCATCAACAACTTTGCATTCTATGAAATGCTCAAATTTGAATTGCAAAATAGTTGGTTTCGTAGTGAAATCGATTATCATTGCCCTGGTTAAACACAGACAAAAATGAGAGTTGAAGGTCTAATCCCAATTTAATTACTTGCAATGATCATTTCCATGATTAAATATAGACCAAAAAGAGGGTTGAAGGTCTAATCCCAATTTAATTACTTGCAATGCCGTTGTTCCTATTTTTCAATTAGCCATGACTATAAGCATCATTTAAAACACAAAGTTTCGATAACCCTCTTTTGGTTTCTAAAATAATTGTTTTAGCCGTCATTTTCTACTTCAATGCCAATATTTATGAGTGCAAATACAATGGCAACAGACTTAGACGGGATACAGACATACATACAGTTTTGGATTCCCACCCATTTAACTTAAATGGCCCATACTATCGGTCGGTGCAGCCAGTGGAAAACAGCAGCGCAGCTCAATTATGTGCCCCCTCTTGGCCTAAAAATATATTTTGCTCACATAAATCGAATTCTTATCAAGGTGGCGCCAACAGGAAATCTGAAATCCTGTATACCAGAGTAGAAATCAATTAATGAGAACAAGCAAAAGCTGTATCTCGGCATTAATAGCAAACATGCTTGCACCCTTTCCGAAACTTAACAGAATACATAGAAGATTGCAAACTAGCAGAAAGGCGGTTAATAATTGACTAAGGATCTGTTTGATAACATTAAAAAGTGCTGAAACTGAACTTTTTCAGACATTCAGATATTTTGAGTGTTTGATAAATGAAAATCCATCTATTGAATTTGTTAAGCAATGCGGAAGTTGTGTGTATTTTTTTCAGCACAAGAATCCTAACTGAATACTTAATTCTGATAAGAATTAATAGAATTACTTCAACTATCTTATATTATCTACCAAATCCACCATTGTTTGTTAATTATGTTCAAAATTCTTGTTTAATTAAACAACTTGATATTCTCTATCTAAGGGTTTTCTATTTCTCTTTCCCCCATTTTAATGACTTTTACATCTTCTCCATACTCCTCATATGATATATTTCATCTTTTATATTAATTTGATTTAAAAATAAATATTTTCATTTTCATGTCTAATAATTTTAAGCTAATTAAATTATAGGTTCTATTTCTTTTTTGAATGTAAAGATATAAGGGCAAAATTATCAAATTTAACTTATTAACCATTCAGTTATAAATGTTTATCAAACAACATAATTAGGCTTAACATTAAAATTCAAACATTTATATATTTCTTTTCAGTGCTTAAAATTCAGCAAATTAATTGTTTCAGTATTCAGACTTCAAAATTCAGATTCAATTTTATCAAATGGAACCTAAATTTTATATATACTAAAAATATTTATGCTATCGTCGTTAAATTCATGACACATATGCAAAAGTTGGAGTTCAAATTCAAGTTTTATAATTGTCATTCTTTGAAAACTCAATCTGTATATATGTTCAATATAGGAAAAATTAATTTTTAATAATTTATGATCTTTAAAGAAATGCAAGAAAAGAAAATTGCCAACACATTACCATTTAGGGACCAATATTTCAAAAGCCCAGAGCCCTTTTGCGTGAAAAAAAACTGTTCTTGCATATGGCCATGCATGCTAAATTGAGTACAATAAAGAGTATTTAGCAAAAGAAAATGAAACATCGATTTCCTATTCGCTCTCATCTCACCCTTCCCAAAACCACAGCTCGTGCGGCATTATCCTATAATGGATTGTTTTCTCACAAGACCAGTTTAGTAAAGATCAAACTGCAGTATGGTACATGAATTTTGCTGTTCATATTTAGTCCCACGTCTTAATTTTGTGAATATATATGTGCAAGTGGAGAATCAAGTGGAAGGTTTTCTCCTACCCTTCTGATTACTTGTGCTTTGGCAATTTATATTGGGCCTCAAAAGTCACCCCACAAATCAGAAGTGGTGAATTGGCTGGCAGTCATCAAACACCTTTGACACTTGCTAGTTTCAATTTTCAACCATGAATCTTTCCTTTCAAGAACAGAATTCAGAAACTAAGAAGAAAATTTGCATTAAATTTAAACAACATACTGTATATATGTTCTGCTCACAATATTTTATACTCTCCAGCACGTTGATTCTCAGAATTGGCTAGCTGTTATGTTTTAATGCCAACTACATCCTTAACAGCCTTAAATGCTTCCCCAACCCTTTTCTCCAAAAAGCAAAAATAACCAAATAAATTAATTTAAATAAAAGCATCCCACAATTCCTTATTAGTATAAGTATACAACCAATCTCTCTTCACATGCACTCACAACCAGCAAACTTCAGGCTTCCACAACCCTATCCGCCACCGTCCACCACCAACACTGCCACCGCCCCCTCCTGCGTTCTGGGAGAAACAGCAAATATACATCCGTAAAATTTCCAAACATGATATCTTTGAAGCAAATTAAACTTCTCCAATTCTCATTTTTATGTCTCTTATCACTGACACTCCTGCTCCACATCACCTTATCCTACATCCCATTCGTAGCCGTCGTCCTCCGTCTCCTCTTAACTCACCTCCACCTCTCCATATTTCTCTCCATTTGCATGCTCCTCTCGATCTTCTGCGGGCTCAAAACCCGCCCAAGCCCCGTCTTTCTCATAAACTACGCGTGCTTTAAGCCGCCACCCCACCGGAAGTGCCTGTACGGGGTAGCTGAATCCTTTTTACTTCGAAACCAACATTTCACCCAAGAAACCATTGAATTCATGCGTAAAATCTACCTTAAATCCGGCCTAGGTGACGAAACCTACGCACCCCCCTTCATTTTCGAGGAAGATACTACTCCCACGCTAAAATGCGCCATCCAAGAAGCTCAAGAAGGAATTTTTTCTTCCATAGATGCACTTTTGTCTAAAACCCTAATCGACCCTCTATCCATTGACATCGTTATTGTTACATGCGGTAGCTTTTCACATTCGCCTTCGCTTTCTTCTCTTATTGTAAACCATTATAACCTCAAACCGGACGTGAAAACTTACAATCTGAGTGGAATGGGATGCGGTTCTGGGGTTTTATCCATTGACTGTGCAGCTAGGGTTTTACGTGCCAGTGGAAAAGTCCAACATGCCCTTGTGGTGATCACCGAAAGCACAACTCTAAACTGGTACTCCGGTGACAATCGTTCCATGCTTGTTACAAACTGCATCTTTCGCGTCGGATGCACCGCCGCAATGTTGACGAATGACCGGAGTCGCCGCTCAGTTGCCAAGATGGAACTTGTTGACATGCTCCGAACTCACCACGGAGCCGATGACCGGTCGTACCGGGCTGCATTTCAGGAGGAGGATGATAAAGGGTATACCGGAGTTGCACTTACAAAGGATTTGGTAAGAGTGGCTGGGGTGAATTTGAGGGAGCATCTTACTATTCTTGCACCGCGAGTTTTGCCACTGAGTCAACTCGTTCTTTACGCGTACTCGGTGGCCATGGCAGCATTGTCCCGTGGTGAGTCCAAACCAACTGTGCCTGATTTTACAGCAGCATTTGAGCATATGTGTATTCATACTGGGGGTAAAGCTGTAATTGAACAAGTGGCGAGGGTTTTGAGATTGAGAGGGGAGGTAACTGAGCCAGCTCGGATGAGTTTGAACCGGTTTGGTAACACGTCTAGCAGTCTTGTGTTTTATGAATTGGCTTATTTTGAAGCAAAAAAGAGAGTTAAAAAGGGGGACAAAATGTGGATGATTGCATTCGGGACTGGATTCAAGATTGGTAGCTTGGTTTGGAAGTGGTTGCAAAATTCAGCTCAAGAAAATGATAATCCATGGAATGACTGCATACAGCGTTACCCTTTGGATGCTTGGTAGATTTGACCATTTATTTCTTCATAATTCAGCTCGAGAAAATGTTTTTTTTTTTTTTACTTTTTTGGGTGAGGGTGGAGGACATATATTTTGGTCAAAGATAGACTGATAGATGGATTGCTCTATTACCAAAGTTGCATTGGAAGTGTTGCCATGGATTGGAAATTTATCCTTAATTCGACAGATCAAATAAGGGTATCTCTGAAGCCAATTCCTTTTTGGGATTGCAGAATTCCATCGCCACCAACAGTGATCTGATCATTTAATTGCAGCAGAGAGGCCCAATGAAAGAGTTTGGCTCCTAAGGGTAATGGAAGAGATTTTATTGCTTTACTTGAAAAGAGTTTCTTTTGGAGGAAAATATAAAAAATAGTGGAAAAACCGCAACAGTATAAGTTTCATTTTTTTTTTCTCCTTACTGAAGGATGTCAAGCATTTTGTATTGCATATACAGATCTCACATTCAATTGAGAGTATTTTTATTTTCATTGCGTGAGAGGTGTACCATTTTTCAATCATTTAAATATATGAATATGTAAGTAGTGCATGAGAAAACCTTGGATCATCTATTTTATTATACATTTTGGACTTCTTCTCAACTAGGTTTACATTCGAACAATTCTGCACAAATTTTTCCACATCATAAAGAGCCTCGAAGAGATAGATTTTGAGCGGCTACTGACTAAACGCATTGAAAGTGGAATGGCAGCTCAATCAAGGAAGGGCTTATATATAGAACATCAGGAAAGTTGTTCGATCATGTAACAAGCTACAAACGTTGATCAACATGTTTTTGAAAATGATCCAGAGAAAAAATTGAAAATCAGTAGTGGCAGAAACAGATTTCAAGCCTAACTTGTGTTTTATTGTCAAAGATAGTGACATAATCGGAGTAGCAACCCCGGAACCAATAATAATCTTGTGTAAAGTTATGAATACAATAAGAAATTTATTCGATCAACTCAAGGAATCATGAACAAATAAACAATTAAACTCAAAGTACTTACTGCATATATTCGCGGTGACCCGTCCATTCTTGTGCGCCAAAATATAAGGTGAAGTTGACGCAGAAAACACACATTTAGATATAAGGTGAAGTTTTCAACACCATTAGAAGAGTACGTACATTTGTGCAATAATGTTATAAAGTTAATTTTAATGAAATTGTATTCTAATATTTTTCCAGGCTACCAAACTGCCGTTTGTGTCTCAGCCTTTACACTTATCAATAAGCATTTGACATTTTCTAATCCAATTTATAACTGTAACTAAAGTATGTATTGTCAACCACATAATTTTTTAAGTTTGTCAAGTGAGTAGGCAATAGTGCGGCAATTGCTTCGAAGGAGGGATCAGAACAGGGTGTGGATTGCCTTCAATCATAGATTTGATTGCAATGAAAAGCTAATGATTTTGTTAGGTGCCATTTAAAATTGATGGATGAGATCAATCTAAGATAGTACAAAATTTGTTATGCTAATTAATTGTTGCATGTTATTAGTGTTTACATTTTCTTCCGTAAATTGAACTCATGACTGTAGAAGCCTTGGCTCCTGTCATAATAAATGCTGTCTCAAATTATAAGCACAGAGGTTCCCTCCTTGTCATACTACACGCTTACATGGTTATGCCTATCTTGTCTAGTAATGGTGATTGAAACCGAATCTACTGAAATTTTTTTAAAAACATTTACATGGCTATGATTTCTTTGTATTCAAGAGGCGGAAAATGATTCATTTTGTTCCAAAAAAACGTCTCCATAGAAGTCAAAGTGTATGTAATTTCCCATTTAAATCTGCTACCGGTCTTTCTATAGATGCATGCATCAATATACACGTGCATTGTGGCCTGGTCGTGGAACAGCAGGAACCTTAAGTCAGCGACACCATGAGAAAACAATCCTGCTTCTCAACTGATAATCTTAGGCCCTTTGATGCTGCGTCTCTACTTCGTCAAAGGAGGCAAAAGTAGATGGCTATCAAGCCGGTTAGACACCGCAGCATGGCCTCTAATTTTCATCCCACTATCTCCTATCTCCATCGCCGCAAGAATCAAGGCCACAACACCAGCCTATTTTTTTATCAATTATCTGGTTTTCACGAAGACCGCCATCATCGGCATCCTAACCCGTGTAGCGAATTAGTTGTGCGCCTCCGGGCTAGCCCACCTCCCCGTCTCAACCTCTTCTATCATCGTTTCTACGCAGCTTGCTTTCACTGCTATATTTGCTTTCCTTATTGTTAAGAATAAGTTCACAGCATCTTCTCTTGTTTTGTTGACCGTGGGGTTGGGTTGGTTGTTTTGCCAGAGGGCGAGTCAAATAGGTTGCATGTTTTAGGTTTCACGATGACTCTTGCAGCTGCAGCTGTGTATGAGCTGATTTTGGTAATGGTGGAGTCAATTTACTTGAAGGCTAAGCAATTTATTACGTACTATGCCTTTGGGGTGGCGCATTTGCCGGTCTCCACTGCTTCACTCGTTGCGGCATCACAACTGGCTTTCACTGCATTTTTTGCATTTCTTATTGTTAAGCAAAAGTTTACTCCGTATACCATGAATGCGGTCGTCTTGCTAACGGTGGAAATGGTGATTGTGGCCTTGCATGGAGGCAGCGACAGACCTAAGGGATAGAGCAAGAAGATGTATGTTTTAGGGTCTGTTTTGACATTGGCTTTCCAGTGCTGTAAACGGGTTGATTTTGCCGTTGACTGAACTGGCGCACAAGAAAGCGAAGCAGGCCATCTGCTACGCTTTGGTGATAATGGAGATTCAGATTGCGATTGGCTTTTTCCCCCCACCAACCTGCACCGTTGGCATGATCGTGAATAATGATTTTAAGGTCTCTTTCCTCCTCCATTTATCTTATGTGTACAAACTTAGCACAAGATCATTAGACAGAAAAGTTTACTACTATGTACTAATACTTGTTTTAAGATTTTCATATGAAATTTTTGAGACGTGATATATATATACAAGGTAAAAGATAGTTGAGAAATATGCCACAAGGAAATTATTTCAAGAAAAATAGAACTCAAAATTGTTTCCCCATAAATGGGAATTATTAGATGAGGAGACGCTTTTGAACAACCTGTTCCTCAAATTATGATCATGAATTAGTGCAATTCTTTGAGAAATATTTCATTTAGGGATAAGGGTTGGTTTTTCACTTTTGATTAATTTTTGGGTAAAACATGTGGTATTTTTTGTTGTGAGGAAGACAGTACCTGCAGGTATATGTACAGGGAGGGCATCCACATTAAGGACACATTGTAGCCAAGCAATTTTGTTTCCTCATAAGATCTGATTACTAATTACCTGAACAAAAAAAATCTCTTACTACTTAATTAGGTGATATTGATTCGGAATAAATAAGCATAATATATGTCAATTTTGGTAGTTTTGGTCTTATTTCTGTTTCCCAAATGCGGTTTATTGGAACATATGTGCCTGCTAATTTTGGTGAAATCGAATGCCATAAAATTACCAGCCCAAGTAACGAGAGTATAGATGAATAAACAGACATCTCTGCCCAACCGGTAACCTTTGAGAACTAAAACATATCGCAACTTCTTCTTTACTCTTCTGGATTTTCCTTGGACTTTGTCTATCTGATTAAGGTTTGTTAATTTGCCTGTTGGTGGTGAATTTGAGAGGACAGTAGTAAACCTACTATACATAACTGTTAGATTTTGGTGCTTGTGTGTCAAGTTCCTTCGAGGCTCCGCTTCTTTCTTCGCGGTTCTTTCACATCTCTCTTGTATATGAATCATTTCAATTCCCTTTTCGTAGATGGTGTGCAGAATAATTTGACAGCTATTTGTATTCAGTTTCTGCTCTTTAAGTTGAGATCACTAGGATAAGCTTAGTCTTCATTCGATCAGCTTAGTTATGATGGAAAATGCATCTCTAGCAAGTGGAAAAGTATTTAAGTATTAGCCACTGACCAGAGATAATTAAGTATAAGCTCCTTCTTATATTGTAGTTGATTGCTATACAGTTGTGACCGAAAAAAAAAAATTCATATTAATTGAGACGTACATATGCATTTATTTCATCTTATTATCCAGATTTGGATGACCAAACACATCTGCAGACTGTGTTCTTCGAATTAAAGATCATGATTCATGAATTAGTGCTAATATTCTTTGAGAAGCATTTAGTTTACGGGTATGGCGTTTTTTTTTTTCATATCATGTAATTTTTGACTGTGAGGCTAAACATTGATAAGTGAAGATGAAAATGCATAGGAGTGAAATTGACGTTCAGCTCCTTGAACCCAATTTTACCTGCATAATTTCCCAAAATAATTTCCTTTTTCTTGATACATTACGAGGACTATGTTTTAAAACTTGAACCGGACCAGCCGATCGAATAGGGAACCGGCCAAGTGTCCGGTCCATGTTATTCTAAAAAACTCGTTCAAATTCGGTCAAAAACCGGGTTTGACCGAAAAACCGGAAGAATAGCTTTGTGTGCAAAGCTGTTTTTTTTTTTTGGGAAAAGGTCAAAGCATTTTTAATGTTATGTTTTGACCCCTAAGTTGTTAAAAATTATTAATATACCTCAAGTATTTCATACTTTATAAATGTTGTCCTAAAGTTTGGTATTATTTCTCGATCAGGTCCATAATTTTAATTCTAAACTTGTTAATGTTCATTGAATAATATAAATTGCTACTTGATCATTCTAATTTCTTTATATTTTCTTATTAAATATATTTGAAACATCAAATATATATATGAATATATCTTTATTAATATTAACATACTTTTAGGTATTTTACATACAATCTTTTAATTTTTAAATAATTTTTATTTATGACATCATTCGGTTCAATTCCGATCGAATTCATTGATCCTTGATCCTGAGCTCGACTGAGTCAATATCTGGTCCGAGTCTGAAAACATAGTATGAGGATGCAGGGAAGCATCATGAGGAGTCGCATTGACAGTAATAAATGTATTATTTTTTGACAGTAATAAATGTATTAGCCTGTCATCTTTTATGAAGAAATAATGTATTACCTAATTTCTTCACGGGCTCGACTACTACAGCTTACCACACAATAGATTTTAATTGGAATGGAGATTTAAGGCTATTATTAATTAGATCTCTTGGCAGGTAAACCTAACTCATGGTACTTAAAAATGCTAAACAAATTGAAGTCCTAAAGATGCCTACATCATGATTCTTGTCAAATGATTAGAAGTTCAAGAACCTTTTGGTTATAGATATAATGGTGCGATGGCTGGAATTAAAGATGAAATTGAGCATTCATAGGTGGGTTGTTGTGTGTTCCCATCAATATTTGGAGTTAACAGTAAGCAAATGCCTGTTGACCCCTGATCTCCCTTGTATAAGTTGTTAGCTTTCATAATCATCACACAACATCAATCCATTTCTGATCCACACATTCATCCGAAAAATTAAAGACTCAAGTTTCATTTGGACCACATTTAATTAGTCCAGAATCAAGTTTGGTGATTACAATCTTTTGCAGCCCTTTCTTGATTCATTCAGAAACACGAAGCTTGGCGATAATCAAGTAGACGAAAATGGAAGCTCAACTCATTAGCAACCCTACGAGAAAATTACTGCTTATGGTAAGCATCATTTTACTAACCGTCGGGGCATGCGGCGGTCCGTTGATCATGCGTCTCTATTTCCTCCATGGAGGCAAAAGAATATGGTTAACAGGGTGGCTACAAACTGCAGCATGGCCTCTCATTCTCATCCCACTTGTAGCTTCGTATTGCAATCGTCGCAAGAAACACGAAGGAGGCTCCCACACCAAACTAGTCCTAATCGATCTTCGGACGCTCATATCAGGAGTAATCATCGGTTGCCTAGTCGGCTTATCCAATCACTTGTATTCCTTTGGCGTCGGGCACTTGCCCGTGTCAACCAACTCCCTCATCCTTGCGACTTCGCTAGTTTTCACCGCATTTTCAGCTTTCATTCTCGTCGGCCAAAAGTTTAATGCGTATACGGTAAACGCCATAGTGCTGTTGACACTGGGATCAGTGGTTTTGGCAATTCATGCTGGGAGTGAAAGACCAAAGGGTGAGAAAAATAAGATGTATATTCTGGGGTTCATTTTGACACTTGCAGCTGCAGCCTTGTCTGGGTTTCTTCTACCTTTGATTGAATTGACGTACATGAAGGCCAAGCAGGCAATCAGCTACACCTTGGTGATGGAGTTTCAGTTGGTGCTGTGCATTTCTGCCACGGTTTTCTCAACTGTCGGGATGCTAGTCAACAATGACTTCAAGGTCTGTTTCTCCCATACTTTTGCCTGGTAAATGTAGGAATACTCATTTCTTGGGTTTGCCTTTCTTCCTTGTACATGATCTTGGCGGACCAAATTAAGATTATCAAGCGTGTAATTATGCAGGAAATTTCCCAAGAGGCAAGAGAATATCAACTGGGAGAAACAAAATATTACTTGGTCCTAGTTTGGTGTGCCATTATTTGGCAATGTTTCACCGTGGGATTCACTGGAATAATCTTCTGCGCTTCATCTTTGTTGTCCGGAATCATGCTCGCCGCTTTACTTCCAATCACAGAAGTATTAGCCGTCATTTTCTACCATGAAAAGTTCCAAGCAGAGAAGGGCATCGCTCTTGCCCTCTCTCTTTGGGGTTTTATTTCGCACTTTTATGGTGTTATCAAGCATGGCAAGAAGCAGCAAATTCCAGAAGCAGAGATGCCTTCAGGCACTGCTCCCTGATTTTCGGGTTGGTGCTGTATTTCTCAAGAGTCTAATTATTAATTAATGTACAATAATACAAAATATATATTGTTATTGTCACTTAATGTACAAAATATATATTGTTATTACATAATTTACTTTGAGGACAATAAGGTGTCCATCTGAGCATTCAACTTTGGCATTATTACATATCCATCCCTGGTCCCAATCATATACATGTACAAGGTTTTGTGGCGTAATTTGTTATTATATATTCATCCCTTTCAAGTAGATCTTTACATGAGAAGATCAGAATGTAAGAATAGCAACTCGATACATAAAAATGTCCAGTTCAACACAATTTCTATACTTTTTTTTTTTTTTTTTTAAGATCATCAGCACCAAAATTGCGACGGATGTCATAGCATTCCATTGTCAAGAAAGAATACAAAAGTCAAGACTTCGATTTTTTCACAAAATGATAGCTCTTCATCTAAGTATCCATCCGTTCATAACTCCAATCTTCACTTTGTGATGACTCTCATCCCAAAATCTTCTTCACCAACAGAAGGATTAACACCAACGCGGAGAACTCAAGCACATATTTGGGGGCCAAAACATGACCGAGCATTTGCTGCCACCTGTAAGTTCAACCAGTAGACAGCTGCTGGTAAAGCCTGTTAACCAGTTCCAGAATGTTCACCACATTCAGAATGGTAACTAAAAAGAGAGAGAACCCATTTTCCACCAACAGTCTCCAAGATGAATGAATGATCTATGCTCTATATAGTACCATAAGATATAAACGTTTTTCTATCCAGGGTGCATATGATGTAACTTAGCATAGCAAAGCTAAAACAGACGCAGGGAGCATTCAAGGAAATTACCATTAGATATAACAGCAAGCCGAAGATTGATGCATCATAGCAACTTAATAAAGAACCAACAAAGAGGTCGAGGGCAGTGGTACTGCACAAAAAGACACCTTAACAGCCAAGTTTGCACAGTTTTCTGAGTTCATCATACCCCTGATACCCCCTTTCCATGTCCGACAGGGCTTAATAGAAGCAGTTCTATGATCTCATATAAGAGCTCCACTGGTTTTAAACGAAACATAATATAGTACTTATCCCGTTAGCACTCTCATGCACAGCCCTGTTCCTATGTGCGAGAACATGAAAGCATTATAACAAGTGGCAACAAAAGTTACAAACGAAACCTACTTCCTTATTTGAATAACAGCTGAATTACCAACTTACCCAAAAAGCTACTACAAACTCTACCACTTTTTTTTCCCACATTTAGGATTTTATGCATGTATCTCTTTCTTATATATTCCTGCCACTGGTTCAAGTGCATAGCCATGAAAAGCCTACTTTTCAAACAAAATACTTGTTGCATTTGACTAGTCCTTATTCCCCTTTAAGTTTGCAAATATATTCCTTCTCAAACAAACCAGTTATTTAAATGAACATTGTGAACTTTATACATTAAAAATTTAAAGACATAATTCCTTCTTCTTCTTCTTTTTTTTTTTTTTTATATTCTGTTATTATCCTATTAGAAAATACACTCCAAAGTTGCTCCTTCAATCATAACTTCACGTCCTGTATATTGATCAAGGAATCCCAAGAAAGCAACTGAGACTTTCCAACTTCAGAACCAATTACGCGGCTACAGCTTGTCCTTATTTTTAAGATATAAATATACAGATAAATGTAAGAAAAAAATCCTACCTCTTACATTCCATCCTATTATGAAGTAAACCCAAAAAACTCAACTGCTAAATCCATGAGGACATTATTAAATAAACTGGAAAACAAACATACAAAGAGATCCCAAACATTTAGTGCATTGGAGGAAGTTACTCGTGCAATGTTACAAGCCATGCCAAAATTTCCTTGGTTGCAAAATTTGTCAGAACAGCAAATTCCTTTCAACAGCATGGGCCGTTCCATTTCCAAGAAATTATTATTCATCTTCATTACATGTTAACAGAAGCAATAGCAAAGGAGGGAGCATGAGAACCTATTCCAACTTTCCAAAAAAATAAAACAAAGAGCCACAGACCAAAGATACTGAACGAAAAGATGAGACTTGACACACTGAAAGTTTAACAAAGTCAATTTTGAAGTTGCATTTTCAAATAGTGAAACCCATATGAAGAATAGCCCCAGTTCTTCAATAACAATCCGCAAAATTCACATATATTTTCAGTCTTGGGGACTAATACTTACACTTCAGATACAAAGGGACAAAACTTAACCTTTGTTTTCTTTTAGTTGCATACTTCTAACACGAGCTAAAATGAGCTACTAGTGTAAGTCTGAAATTTGATTCCAGCTATCACAGTCTTACAGCATTACAAATCACCATCACAATATGGCAATCACAAGGCATACTTCTTATACTGGAACACTTAAATTTGGTAATATAATCTCAATGGCTGTTCAAGCAAATAGGGATAAAAAAAAGGTAAGTAAAAAAATTCTTGGGGATGGGGATGAGGGAAAGAAGAGGCGAAAATATACAGAGACAGCCAAGTTTTATTTTTTTGTGCATATACAACACCTCGAAACTGAAAAAAAAAGAGTTTAAGTATTATTACCATATCTAAAAGAAAGAACAAACTCACCAACTTCCTTCACCAGACGTGTTATGCTCACTGGAAATTTCCTCATTGGCAAATTCTTCTAGTATTGCACGCTGTCGTTCATTTAAGACTCTGAATAAGAGAAAATTATCAGCTATCACCTTTCCCAATTTAATCAGCTAGAAAGCAACTTCAATAACAGGATTCAAAAATTCTCATGGTCACAAGGTTCATGGAAAAGTTCAGTCCGTGGAAAGGTAGGCAGATAGATGTAGAATAGTGCTGAATAAAAACAGTTGGCTCTATATTCCTTGAGTAACATCTCCTGAATTTAGATATGTTCCATTGCGCATATATGCAAATAATCGCATGCTAGTAAACCCAACCAGTTGTTGCAACAGCATTCTAGTTGATCAGTATTGAACTGCTACAACCTTTTTGTGTAACTGGCCCTATACAGAGTTCAGAAGCTAAGACTGAGATTTTAGAAAGAATAGTGAGTACATGAACAGAACTATTTTGGGAAAGGAAGAGTGAGAAAATCAGAACTGAATCAGTTTGCTGCTCAATGTATGCAAGTCTAGCAGATGATTTTTTGAGCATTCTGGGAAGCAGAGCAGTTAATTGAAATCATATCAGGGACCTTTTTAAAGTATGTTTTATTGGTATAATGCAATCGTTACTTTCAAAAGACATTCTTCACTTGTTAGCTTATTAACTTAGTAATAATGCTCTTTGTATCTTCTCTGCAACAATACAGCAATTACTTGTAGCAGGTTGGTTGAATTATCTACTGAGGCCTAACCTAAAATACTCCCCAACCAGAGAAACAGACAAGAGGGCAAGGAAAAATAAAATAACGTAAAGAGCTTACACTGGAAAGTTTACGCGAAACCGTACGTACTGATCCCCATGATCTACAAAAAAGCCACTCTTTGGCAACCCTGCATACATCCCTCCATGTAAATTTCAAAAAACAAAAATGGTAAAAGAGCATCAATCAAGCTTTCTCTGAGGGAAGCAAAAGGTTCAGCACACCTTTGCCTCTTAGTCTCAGAAGCTGCCCAGGTTGAACACCCTTGGGAATCTGATTGGAAGAAAAAAAAAAAAGTGGTGAGTTAAATTCATAAACAGGTCACTATAACCCTCTGCTTTCACTTTGCCTAGATAAATCTGCACCTTGAGAAAGAAAGCTTGCACATACGCATGGCAAGATACAAGGACAAAAGAAATAAACTCAATTGGGCTTATGCAAAATCGCATGACAAGAACACCACAAGGAAATCCATAAACCTATGCGTTACACCTTCACCAAGACAAGCCTGCCCATAAACTAAAAATCACCAAGAGATTGCTTTATTAAATGTATGTCACTACAAGAAAGCCCTGAAGCACTTTAAAAGTAAAAATCCCCTCGTAAAGTTGGAATCCAACATACAAAAGCACCAGGAAAGCAAGCCAGAATGAAAGAAACAGTTGAAAAAATTAAACATTTTCGTGGGCCACCAGTAGTAACATAAACTTTTACACATCTATATTGCTTTTGAAGCAGTCGTTGAGGTAAAAAGTGTCATGTTAGAGTATCAACAACTTATCTCAAACATAATGCATCATCCAAAGAGCCTAACTTACGATCTTGAAAAACGTCAATAGCCATAGTGGTATGTTGTTTTATTTTGTCATCCCCGCATATCAACTGCTTTCTAGTAGTCTTTTATAAGACTGTAGCTTTAAGAAATCCAGAATTGATGCTCCTTGGATTCATTGAGAAGAAACAGACAAACAGAGACACGAACACAGAGGAGTCAGGAAGAAATTATTTTCTTAATGTTTCAGTTTCTATCAAACATATATGTTGTATCCTCTCACAAAAAATAAATAAATAAATAAACGACGGAAATTAAATGGAAACAGTATCCTACTTGATTAAATCACTTGTCTCTTCAAAATATCCAAAACAAGAAAGTGAAATCTCATAACTTGAGTAAAGTTTATTGCACTTTGTGTTTTAAATAGCACAAATTTCAACTGCAAGTTTGAATACTCAAGACTCCCATAGTATGCATAATCCATCTTGATCCAGATAATCTTCCCTATCAGCAGAAAAGAATTTTGAAGAAGTCCTTAAACCCTGTCAATATAACTACTAAGTGGACATCACAAGGCTGAAAGTAAATGTCTTGAAGCAACATGAGCACCATTACGTAGACCAGTCAATGAGAACCCTCCAACAGAATATTGCCACTAAAGGATAACATCACAGTTTAAGAGAGGCAGAGAACGTCACATCACCACATATACATGTAATTAACATCATAAGGTGAAATAAACATCATACTTGCACTTTCGTCTTCCCAGACAGAGTTGGCACTTCCACATTTCCACCAAGGATAGCCTGTTAAAAAAACTCTAGTAAGCATTGAACACCAAGTCCAGTACTATCAAATACAATCACCACATAACTGTTATAGAGGATCTTAAAAGACTTCAAATTATTTTAGAGTCCCTAAAATGTGGCAACAATCAATTGAAAGTGGTATCAAATTAAGTCTCTAAATAGCTATATATGCTGAGTTTTAAAGCTCATAACAGAAACCTCGTAAATCTGGTTTCAGATTAAAAAATGCCTATCTAGAGCATTACTTTAACCCATCACAATCTGTCTGAGCAGACAAATATCGCCAGAAAAATAAAAATCAAAGAAAGCATGAAAAAACCATAGCTAAGCGCATCCAAAACCAAGTCCAAGTTCTCCATGAAGTACTTGTTGAAATCATCCAGCTAAATGTCTCTAGAACGTGTCAAGCACTTGTTGAATAAGGTATGCTAAAAGATAAGACTAGCTCCAAAGTCAGTGAAGTACATACAAATTCTGCTTGTTGGGACCCAATGCTCGAAACAACACAATCAAGACCTTAAGAGATGGCAATACTGTTCAATCTAGTTGTCACTACGACAATTTTTACAATCAATTATGCCAATCACAAAATAAACAGTTAGATAAACACCTTGATTGGTTCATTCAAGGTGGAATTTACAATTTTTTACCAAAATTATACTTTCTAAATTGAAACAACAAGTGATACAGGTTTCAGGGAAAAAAGAAAAGGTTATAATAAGATGTAGCAACATTTTGAATCCCATCTTTTTGAGTTTGTTTCCCTTATTTTTGCATTTATCTATCCAGATTCCAGCTTAAATGTTAATTACTTTTTGGGTACAATTTTTCATAGCAACTGAATAATGGAACACAAAAATGCTTTGAAAAAGTTTATTTAGTAAATTTTTTAGATTAAATCAGAACAGTAATCAGAGACCAAACAGACCTTACTTTAAATCTCTCTGCCTATGTTGAAACTTTCATACATTGGCATTTGAGATTCATAGGGCCAAGAAACATAATAATAAGATGGTACAAATATCTCCACTAGAGCCCCATAGAACTTTCAAAAAACATCCATATTGATTCTATCCGATCACGAATGACAAAGAAAGGTCCAACAAAGAAGGTAGGCAGACAGTATACTTGTAAAAGGATACTTATTTGGTTCAGAATCATAGTGAACACAAAAATTATCTGTCCACATTAAGCATTAGCTGTGCCTGTAGATTAAGGAGACTTAAACATAAAAGAGTAAAAGAATGGTGTCTCACTTGTGTAAAGCTTATATTACTATCTACATATATATCAGCCCCATCTCTGGCAAAAAGAGGATCTTCAGTGACCTGAAACCAGAGATGCACAAATTTTCACAAAGCAAATAAGAGTAATCATACCTTTATGGTTCTGTTATGTCACTATATTAAACCATTTTCTTTAGGTGGATAATTACATAGTGTAACTGGACATAGAAGTTACAACAACATTCTTGTACAACTTGAGAGAGAGAGAGAGAGAGAGAGAAGGGGGAGGGTGGGAAGGACAACAAGGTTCATATTAGGGAACTCTAAACAGAAAGAGGTAGTATACAAAAGCATTTAGTGGAAAATTATAAAATTAATCAAGAAATAAGAATTTAGTGGAATAAAACAAATTCAAGCAAGAAGGACTCTACCTTAAGCTTTATGAACAGGCTGCCTGGTTCGAGTCCATGTCTGCCAGCATTGCCAGCATTTTCAACATGAATTGTATCCCCAGTGTCCACACCTGCTCCATGATGAAGATGAGCAAAAACAGCAAGCCACTCAATATTCCACCACTGTCACATCATGATGATATAATAGCTAGGACACAATCTTACAGGCAACATATCCTGATTTTTTTTTTTAAACTAGCATATCCTGATGTCTATAACAAGCAAAGACAATTTATTTCACAATAGCATCCTCGCATGAAAAGAAATATGCAAACCCAGAACTAGTATGAGAACAGCAAACTGCTTTCATAAAAAAATTTTGAAAAACCACCAAAATCTGCATGTAGGCATTGGCAATTTGTAAGTATCTACAGCAAGTTTATAAGCAACAAGGGTCATACTTCAACATATAAACCACTTCCTGTAAAATCTTAAGAGGACACCTGTCAAAGGTTCAAGATCGAATTTCTATTCCTGAAGATATTAAAAGTTCTGGGGAGGATACATATCGGAAGTCCAGCTATTATTATGTTGTAATACCAAAGTGTTCTTCTACTTGCAAGAACATGGAACTATACAACGAATATCCAGCTGGTAGCAATTAATAGATCCAAAATCTTCAACAATGGTCCCTTAAAGCCAATTAAAATGGATGAAGTTGAGCAATTTCAATTATCCATGCAATACAAGATCAAAAATAGGAGATTTAATTTTATAATGATTTCAAATGAAAATGCCAAGTCCTATGATCATAGTCTGGTCAGAAAAACATTCAGCACCAACCTGCCGGAATTGACACTTTAACATGCTTCACTCCTTCAACTGCACCTGATCCTTGGCATGCCCTGCAAAATTCCTAGAATTGCATACGTATTAGAAATCTACTAATAATAATAATAATGATGATGATGATGATGATGATGATGAAGAAGAAGAAGAAGAAGAAGAAGAAGAAGAAATAAACCAACCTTAAATATTACACCAGATCCTTTACACATACTGCACGTTTCAGTGAAGCGAAGAAATGTTTGCTACAATGTAACCATTATTATTCATGAATCACAAAACAAAGACACTTTTAAACAGAAAAAAGACCAAAATAATCTTAAACCCTAGTAGCGTTCAAGACTATTAGATGTGTTAATAATATTAGTATCAACAATATACGCAATTATAACCGTAACACACTAACCATCCCACTGCCTTGACAATTATGGCAAATTTTTCGCTTTGCATTTGGTGGATAGCCATGCCCATCTGGGTTTTCGAGAAGACAGAAAACATGAAGAACTCAGTACAAAAAGACAAAAAAGCATAATACTAGACTAAAGAAAAACAATTTGAAAGAATCACAAAATTAAAGTGCTCCAGATCATCCTTGACCTTGTTATACCCATGGGACATATAACATGCTATACCACTTCTAAATTCATACTTGTTTAATGCAGAAACTGATTAAGAACTCTTCCTCAGAGAGAACTATGAAGTTAGACCAGATGCAGAGTTGAAAGAGTAAACATAATCTAGGATTACACATTTTTAAGTTACAATCCACTCACTGCAAGCATCACAGGGGACATCCGCATCAAAAGATAAATGCTTGGTGCATCCTTTAGCAGCTTCAGAAAAAGAGAGTGAAAGCTCCACCTATAACATCCCGATCAGAATCCAAATAGGTTAAGCTTGCTCAAACTGGAATAGATGGAAACAATAATATCTAACATCACAAAAATCCCAAGTGCAGATAACCTGGATATCCTTGGTATGAAATTTTGCTTGATCTTTGAATATCTACAAGATATCACCCACAGTTAGTACATAAGCATAACAAGAATTTCATTCCAGAACTACAGCAGACAAGCTAAGCAAGCACAACAGCTTTACCTCAGCAAAAACATCATAAAATGAATCAGAAAATTGAGTTCCATAGGTAAATCTAAACCCATCCGCATCCCCAGAAGAATAGTTCACATCTTCTCCAGTCCTGCCATATTCACTGATCTGTCTTTCATGGTTAATTAGATTGGAGAACTGACAAGTCAAACAGCAGATGGAAAACTATTTTAACATACCAAATGCTGAAAAGATTATTACCCTGTCATATTGGGCTCTCTTTTCTGGATCTTGTAAAATCTGGAATTCACATTCAACAGAGCAGTTATCAATTAAACACTTTTCCAGGAAACAGTCAATCCTGAATTTATGATTCCAAATATACAGAAACAACTACAAACCTCATAAGCATCTCTTATCTCTTGAAATTTCCTCTTTGCAGAAGGATTTTTCTTATTCGCATCTGGATGGTACTTCTTCGCAAGCTAAGAATTGCCAAAGAGACAATAATAAAATGTCAGAAAAATATTGAAATATTATTTAACACAATATTCAACTAAAAAGCATATATCAATCCTATTTTGGCTATATAAATCCACTTTCTCAGTCTCTTTTCTCAAGGTTGATGTCTCTGCTAAACTGAAATCATGGCAGCCATCATTAGTTCATTTCATCTGCTTCTCTACTTTCCTCTACTTCTGGTGCTTCCAAGAATCCATTCTGCACTTCCTATATGATGACCCAAAATATGTCCAAACCATCTTGGACATTTTCTCTTATTCTAAACATTATAGATCTCACCTTAACATCTTAGGACTAATCATTACAACACATTTAACATGACATGCAATAACATGATTAGCAACACTTATCCTCTGAGTTTCCTCTGACAACTGCACAGTGAACTTCATAAAAGTCAGAACTCAGAAGATGGCATCATTGATTTCCAAGACTGACAGTAAATAGACACGCAAGCAGAGCATTTTCAACAAGTATAATCTTGTGCATGTTCAACCATTAGATTTATACTCCCACATCCTTGTAATGATATAATATTAAGTTATGAAAACCATTTTTGCTTCACCCCATTTGCAACATTTAATTGTGGATGAAGCATAATTCATAGGTGCTGATCATCATCAAATTATGATGTACTATATGGACAGCATAATCCACATAATAAACAAAACTTCCACCTAATCCAGTCTTTTTGCACTTGTTCATTCTTCTTTTTGGAGTGATTTACTCAACTTATACTTCATTGATATATAATAATATTGAATTACAATACCTAATCTTAATCACACTCCATGCATCCTATGCTCATATAACCTCTTCCACAGGTGTCTGTCAAATTGAGAGTCTTTTTATCTTTTATTACAAGCATAGTCAAAGAAAAGTTGAAACCCTCTTTAAGTGTTCAAAAGTACCTAGTTAAAGAGAAATTCAACTAGAAGTACTCCAATAAGAAGTTAGCAATACATCATAGCACTTGATCATCCAAAACAAAGTAAAACTAAGTACACACATACAAAAAACCATATATGTGAATGTATGTGTGTCTGTGTGTAAAGCTGTGAAGTTTGAAAATTAACACTAAATAGAGGCATCATAATACACTCACAGCATGAAAAGCCTTCTTAATCTCCTCTTTGGTGGCATTTCTAGAGACCCCAAGAATTTCATAGTAATCTCTTTCCGTGGAATTGGAAGGTCCTGCGAATTAATTTGCATGCAGTAGAATCAGAAACATAACACAATTTGTCACAAAAATCTCCACAGAATCAAGACACCTTTTCACTTTAAATCAAAGAGAAAACCTGTGGCATGAATGAAGCGCTTGGACAATAATAGCCCTTTAGGAACAAAATCAGCAGGGTACAATAAAATCCTGCAACTGCACAAATCTGAGGAAACATAACTGCAGCATTAGACAGCTTACATTTCTATTATACAACTACAGATTTATGTACAGAATTATCTGCACATCTGCTTCTTATGGATTCCATACTTAGACAACTCAATAAGAAGTAGAAATGCAAACCATGCGGGGAATGCTTCACAGACACATTACCCAACAGTCACTGCAACAAATACATACACATTCACATATTATAGTCAACCAAGAGGATATGCACATAAGAACACACACATATAAGTACACCAAAACACAAGGTGAACCGGGCCCAGAGATGCCAGCCTTGCCCTATACTAAACCAAATCAAGGCAAATTAACAAATGGCAACATACAGGCAAAGCCACACCATTCGCTTTATTTCTCAACCACAAAGGCATTACAAATTAGACTTGTAGCATGTCCCTCTGTCTATGGCATCCAACATTGAGGGTTTTATCACAAGAACTCAAATTCAAGTTCAGTTGAAAACAGCAACAGCATAACGTTCAAAAGCAGTGAACCATATTTTAGACTGCTGTCAACATCTTGGTAGCTTTGAGATAGCTAACCAACTACATTGTCCCTGTTTCATGCGTAGCTGCCAACTGAAGAACGTGCTGCCCGTGCCAGATAAATGTCACTGCTACCTCCAATGCCCACCCAAACCAGCTTCTGGCGTGCAACTACACACAGCAAACACTTGCCAGCCAATTACTACCCTTGTAAACAGCTACAGACCATACCAAGCAGCTAAAAGCCATGCAAAACCCATAAAATAATTACTCATGTTAAACCACTTTTCAAGTGCTACAACCTCTACCAATGAACACTGCCTTCACCAGTATGGCTGCTGTCAATCCACCAACCCCCCCCCCCCTGGGTGCCAAAAAAATGCAGAACTGCAAACTTTTTTTTTGTAAGCACAGAACTGCAAACTTGAATGCTCACGTCCATGCCCAGAACAAGCCCAATGCTACCTCAGACATGGTCAACATCCATACTTGGTAAAATTGCCTAGCACCAAACATAGGGCATGTCACCAAACCATAAGCATGCCCCAGAGCAGACCTGGTCATAAGCATTTTCAGCTGCCAACTAAAGAATGTGCTACCCATGCCAGATAAATGTCACTGCTACCTCCAACGCCAAGCCACACCAGATTCTGGCATGCAACTACACATGCAAACACTTGCCACCCAATTACTACCCTGTTAAACAGCTGCAGATGAGACCAAGCAGCTAAGAGCGATGCAAAAACCCATAAAATAATTCGACATACTAAACCACTTTTCAAGTGCTACAATTTCTACCAATAAACACTGCCTTCACCAGTGTGGCTGCCGTCAATCCTTCCCCTCCCCCACTCCCATCCCCGGTGGAAGCCAAAAAAGAAAATGCGGAACTGCAAACTCAAATGCTCATGTCCATTCCCAGGGCAACCTCAGAAAGGGTCAACCTCCATACTTGGCAAATTGCCTAGTACCAAACTTAGAGTGGCCCTGCCCTAGAGCAGACCTAGTCATAAGCATTTTCAGCTACCATCTAATACTAAACTAAACCTCATAAAGAAAACTTTTTTAATTACAATAGCTAAAATATATTTATTTTTGTCCATTCTGGATGCAACAGAATGGACTTTACAGATCTGAAAATGGACCTACCAGAGAAATGAGTATTGATTCTGAAAGACTACAACATTCTCTAGAAGAGAAAAACAATTTGTCAAAAAGACTACAACATTCTCTAGAGGAGAGAAATAACTGTTGATTCTGGAAAAGCCATTGTGATAAACGTCCCCAAATTTCATTTTCAAGCATTCTAACGAGAAGAAGATAAACACCCTTTGTTGAAATGAAGTTAAAAAATAGCATCAGAATTTGGGGATATTATCACAATTTGATGATGTTAACACCTGATTTTGTTACCTTCAGATGTCACTCTAAAATTTAATTACTCATAACAAGAAGAATCATTTAATAAATTTGTAAAACCAAATTGCCTTTTCTATTTAAAATCATCATTTCTGACTCAATACATCTCAAAGGTAAACCTTTGGAAATTGAACGGAGACTCGACAGTAAATTACAGGTGACCTCGTTACACTATATTAATTTGTGAATCAACAAGCTAAGTAACGAATAGACACATAAAGGAACCTAGAACAGTCACATTTCCTTTGTGCCAAACCATTTGAGTAATCTATTTCAGCTTTGTCTTATTTACCATTTTTGTTCTTAATTTTGGGCGGCAAAGTTTTGTTTTTTCTTCCTCCTAAGGGATAATATATATTCCTTAAGCACACCTACACTCTGCTAAAACCATCTTTGTAATGAACAATCAAACAATGCGCAATAACTAAACAAATTACAGCCTACAACGGCTTCTTACATCGGCGGTGATCCAAGGCCGGAAATGCCACTTGCAATGGCCTCTTTCCAGCTGAACATTCTAGAAAATTTGAACTCCGAAACTGCGGCAAAAAATAAAATGAAAAAGAACAGAAGAAGATATGAAGCGATAAATCAAATAGTAAGTAATTTTGATTGAGCAAAAATAATTGATTATTGATTAAAACTACCCAAAAATTCTTCAAAATTGAATGTGCTGACGAACCAAGCGGCTTCCATCTGCCCATTTTAAACTATTTGAACTCAAACCTATGAAAAATTTTTAGGAAGATTAATTGGTTTAGAGGTTTGAAACGGGGGAGTTGAAAGCGAGCAACGGTCTCCGACGACGTCGGACGGGCTCATGGAAATCCGGAGGTTTTTGGGAGGTTAAAGGCAGTGGGCGGAGCAGCGACAAAGAGACGCCGTCGTTGGGTACCGGAAATTACTGATTAGTGACAAGCCTTGGCTTGCTTAGCAAGTCTACAATGATTCTGGGCGGGCGGCAGCAGTTTCTGGAACAAATTGTAAAGATTGGAAATGAAGGCGTAATTTCTCAGTTTATATACGCTACAGCCCTATAACCACGCCTTTCCTGTCACGAAGGCGCAGTACAGACGCCTTTTGCAGAACACGCCTTTGGAGTCGCGAGCTAAGCTTGGCTTCAGCACGGTTCATTTGCAATACTCGTCCTGCATAAAACAGCGACCGTGTTTAACAAAAGAGACAACAGGGGAAAAAAATCCTGTGGGCTGTAGAAGAGGGGAAAGAAATCAAGAATGGCAGTTCGTCTGCGGCTTTTTGCTCCAAGCAGGTAAATACAACTCTTTCTTAACTACCCAGAAAGTTGCAGTAATTGTGACTGAAGAGTTTCTCACTTTAGTGATGTTTAATTTTTGGTGGGGCGGAAATGTTATATTTGTCAGTGTAGCAAATGAAGTGATTTGGAGGTTGTGGAGGCATTTCTCATCAGAAACAATTTCTAGACTCAGTACGGAGTCATTTAACAAGGCCCACAAGATTGATAAAGATGGTGGTGGTGGTGGTGGTTGCCTCAAAACTCGTATTTTAAAGCTTGTGTACCCACGGCGGAGCGCCACTGCCGTGCTGCAGAATTGGGTTGAGGAAGGCCGCGGACGGGTCTCAGTCTCTGAGCTCCGTTGCATATCCAGGCTACTGCTGAAACGGCAGCGTTTCAAGCACGCCCTGGAGGTCCTTCATGCTTAATGCTTTTACTACTTCTTAGGCTTTCTTGCCTTCTTGTTTCTGTTCCCATTTTTTCCCTTTTCTTGTTTCCCTTTTTTCATTTTGTACACTTCGTAATTGTGGTGTCAATCTTGACGCTTTTCCTAGTAACGCGAAATTTGGAAGAATTGAAGCTGAGATTGCTAGATTCTTGGACGGCTTTGGTGTAATTAATTATGAGTGAAAAGGGAAAATGAGTTTCTAAGTTTTTGGTTTTATAGTAGATTTCTGCTGTTCTGCAATTTCTAGATTATTTTCATGTTTGTGGTATTAGAACTTTGCTGCTGGGATGGATTACCTGTATGATTATCTTGATAGATGCTAATTTCCTTGGCTTGGATCCCTTTCTGCACATGAAAGAGAGACCTTCCTTGGATCCCTTTCTGCACATGGAAGGTTGCTTTTGGTAGTATTTGCAGGGTGAATGCCGAGATTGAATTTCATTCTTTGACCTTGTAGTTGTTGTACTAAAATGCTTAAACTCAGTGAAATGCAATCTCTCTGTTTGAGAGGTGATTTTTGGTGGTTGTAGTGGCACTGATGCTATACATTTACTCTGGTTTTCATGTTAATGTGAGAGTATAAGTGCAAGAGACAGGCTATGTATATTTCTCTTTTTCCCTATTGTGGGGTTTATGTCAGAAATTCGATGCAGGAAGCAATGTTGTTTGGTTTTTTATTCTTTTGCAGATATTCACATGGATGGAGGCTAAAGAAAGATCTCGAATGTCTGCTGCTGATCATGCAATGAGGTTGGAATTGACAATTAAAGTGCACACTGTAGGGGAAGCTGAAGAGTATTTTGAAATTTTGCCTGACACTGTTTCTAAGAAAGCCGCTTGTCTCCCTCTGCTTCACTCTTATGTTAAAGAAAGGTCCACTGAGAAGGCTGAGGCTTTCATGCAGAAGATGAACAGCTTGGGGCTAATTGTAAACCCTCATCCATTTAACGAGATGATGAAGCTTTACATAGCAACATCTCAACATAAGAAAGTGCTCGCTGTCATAGTGCAGATGAAACAAAATCGAATACCAAGAAATGTCCTATCGTACAACCTTTGGATGAATGCGTGTGCAGAGCTGTCGGGTGTTGGATCAGCTGAGGATGTTTACAAAGAAATGATTCATGACAAAAATGTTGTGATAGGATGGAGCTCTTTATCTACTTTGGCAAATATTTACCAAAAATCAGGAGCAGTTAACAAGGCTTTTTGGGCACTGAGAGAGGCAGAAAATAAACTATCTAGCCGTAATCGCCTTGGTTATCTATTTTTGTCAACAATTTATACCTCTTTGAATAGGAAGGATGAAGTTGTGCGGCTTTGGAAAGCTAGCAAAGGGGTAAAGGGCAGAATCACATGTGCGAACTACATGTGCATCTTGTCATGTTTGGTGAAGCTTGGTGACATTAAAGAAGCAGAAAATATATTTCTTGAGTGGGAGTCACAGTGTCGGACATTTGATATTAGGGTGCCAAACATTCTTCTAGGCGCATACATGAGGAATGGCATGATGAAGAAAGCTGAATCATTATTTATCCGTTCATTGAACAGAGGTGGATGTCCAAATTATAAAACTTGGGAGATATTCACAGAGGGATGGGTAAGGAGCAATGAAATGGATAAAGCTATAGATACAATGAGAAGATGCCTTTCTACGTTGGAAGACTGTGATTGGAGACCATCAGCTAGTATTGTGGTGGCAATTGCAGAGTACTTTGAGAAGAAGGGAAAGATTGAAGACGCAAAGCAGTATCTTGGAGTCATCAGAAGTTTGGGCCTTGCTAGTTTGCCAGTCTATAAATCATTGCTAAGAATGCATGCCTACTCACAAAGACCCACTGAATACATCCTTGAACTTATGCACAAGGATGGAATTGAATTGGACTATGAGGCTTCTGCACTTGTTCATGAATTCAATATATGAGATTGCAAAAGATGTGTAGTGGCGGATTCTTTGATAAGTCTTGCAGATACAAATTTTTGGGCTTCAACTTTCTTCCCTGAAGCTGAAAACAGCTGGAATGATCAGCCTGTTGAGTCAAACTTGCTTGTTTTCAACAAAGCCCGTTTCAAAAGAGTTGGAGTTCCCTCTCCTGGCAACTTGGGTGTTTTAGAATCAAGAATTTCTATAATGAAAGAGTTGCTATAACATCAGAATGTGATGCTCAATTTCTTTCTCTGCATCTATGACACAAAGTCAGCAAACGGAGGGATGCATTTCGTAATGTTAATTCTTCTTGGACGTACAACAAGATAACAGTTGTAAGTTTCCTTGGTTTTCAAGCAAATGAAATTTTGTTTTTACACAAAATGATTCCAATGAAGATACAGACCCACCACGAAATACTGAAAATGCTTTGATGGCTGAATTGCTTTCTTTTTTTTGCAAATACGCATATTCTGAACTCTTTTGTCATTTCCGTTTTGGAGATTTGTTGATAGAATTGTTTAAATCTTCTCCTCTGGTGCCAGAAATGTTGCAGCAAAGTTTCCCCTTCGTTCATGTTTTTCACTCTTTGTCATAAGGATTTCTGGAAGAATTTTGGTTTCCATTTATGTCTCATCCGTTAATCCTGGTATAACTTACCTCCAAATTCAGGTTTTTCTGATTTGGGATCGAATCTTCTGCTCCGCAATATCTTTTTGCATCAGTAATCTGAATTTGTTTGTGAACGAGTTCATGGTAATGCTATAAGCTTGCTTGTTCCATTAGCAATGTCTTTTTGCCTTCTTATTAGCGATTTCTCTTTTTCTTCTCTTCTTTTTCCGCCAGGGAGTTGGGTTTTGGGGACGAGGGTTGAGGTTGGCATGTGTATCAAATTACCAGCTTCACAACACCAAGTCAAGTATTCTGTCTCTCCTGCAAGAATTGATTTTGTTCATGGGTGATGAATTTTGCTTAAACATCAGCGGCGGGAAGGGGGACACATTCTTTCTCCCCCCCTTCCCGGATAAACAAAGAAAGCTTAAAATTTTTTCCATGCTGCCACATAATATCCAAAGTTGATGGGGCCAATAATTCTGAATAACATCTCATAACACATATGGTTTACTTATCTGCTAGCACACAACTGCCTGTTTCTCATTATGAGTCTTTTATTCTGCTATAGCTGATGCATCGTTGATCTAGCAGTAGACTTATACAAATCATTTGCAGGAACTTGTGAATTGAATTGACAGTGTTACACATCAATTTGACACAACTGCTGTCAACTTCTCACGCAAACCTCTCGTGTGCTTGACCAGTTTGTCGTAAGGTGGCATAAATTCTTTCATGACTGGATCTTCAAGGACGTAATCAATCCATGCAGCGAGCAAAGGCATATTTTCCTGATCAATGAGTTGTATCTTAAAAGCTTCCTGCTCCATTCTAACCCAGTATGCAACCCAGGCAATAGCAACATCTGCAAAACCTATCTTCGTGCCTCCAAAACAGCGTTTCCCATCCAGTCCACTTTCTAGGGTCTTCAGAAGTTCACGAGCTTCTCTTGCACTCTTTTCCAGCTCCTCCCCGACTTTGGTGATTATTCCTACCAGTGCAGGCACACACTGGAGAGAAAAGATTCAAAAAAAAAGGAGCTCTGTAAATGAAATCAACTTCAGTAATGTGTGAACTTGGAATCTTTACAGGGAACATTAAATATTCTTTCTATATTGACTCGCAAGTTGCGATTTTAAAAACTGATAGCATATGATACAACCTGTAGTATTATGCTGGTTGCTTCTAGCCAAAAACTTAAAATTGTTATGATGATCTGCAGAATTATGCCTTCTTACTTACCTTCTCATCAACAAATTTGGCCCAAAAGCGCGATCTAACCCTTTCATAAGGATCTTCAGGGAGGAGTGGATTATGCTTCCAAACTTCATCGATATACTCGAGTATTACGAGGGATTCTGATATTGATTTCCCGTTGTGCAGCAGAACTGGAACCTTCTTATAAACAGGATTACCCTGCAAGAGCAGGGGGCTCTTGTTTTCAAGATCTTCTTCTTGGTACTCATATTCAATGGCTTTGAGTTTCAATGCCGACCTAACCCTGAGTGCATAAGGGCTTGCCCAGTATCCCAGCAACTTGACACCCTCTCCTGCCATTCTCGAACCTAAAGCTTTGTGACAAGCAAAGTTTCTCAGTCTATCTCAGTTGTGTTACCCTGCAATCCTGTCCTTCTTCACCCACCTAATATACCTGCAATTTTATTTTTTTAAGGCGTGACAAGAAGACTCGAAATGATCCTCCTGTGTAGCGTTGACTAAAAAGCCACAAACTTCTTGTGATGTGATGCTTTTCTCTT